AAGACATTTTATTTCAGTCTTTATAACATATTATATAATATCTGGTTGTCCACAAAACATCGATGTGTGTGATGACCGATACAAGAAATGTCACTTATGGCGTTACACTCCTCCGATATCTCACAAACTGTACTTCAGCTATCGAGAAGGTGGCAAATTATACGTTGTAGGAGGATAGTCCAGTGGGAGGATGACGTCTAAAACTTAAAAATAGGATCGCAAAATTATCAATATATTTTTCTGTTAGACAGAACCTGTCGGTTAATGTACGGCTTGCAAAATACTATATATATAGTATAACTTTTTTCAGAGTCATTCTTGGAATATTCGAATTAAAAGAGTAGAGATACGTTGCATATTTGTTGTGTATCTCGATATAATAGCAAGTTTCCCGGCAAAAACGCGCATCAAATAGAAGGCGATACTCATTCGATTTTCGATCCCGTTAGTAGATAAAATCGTGCTGCTACAATCTTTATATATATGTATATTTTACTACTTAAAAGTTTTCGTTTTTCTTTTTCAACAGTATTATACAATTGTCACAACATATACCTTATACACATAATAAAAGTATTTAATAGATAGAGTTCATTTAATAGATTCTAAGAAGAAGTTAATGCAGATAGTCGTAACGTGGACTGTAAATAACGATCAACAATTTGTTTGAAAACAGAAAACAAGTGTGTGAATAGTAAAATCTATACCTAAGAGTGTGTAGAATATTTACAAGTGTGACGGAAATTGTCGTTTTAATTAATTTAATTTCATACATGTCCTCTTTTAAATTACCGACGATGAGATCGATAAATCTATTACGATCGTTTTGTATTTCTCGTATTTGTCGTATCAAACCTTGCAGGCCTCCTAAGTTTTTGTATATTAATTTTCTATTTAGTTTCTGCCGATTTAGATGCGTTTTGTCTAGATGAAATCTCATTCATTAAATCGTACATATTACACTTTTCTTAATAACTACCACCGTTTTAAGTGCAATTGAATGGCTTTTTCAAACATGAGTGCGATGTAACTATTTTGCTGTAGTGCAAACACCAATTGCTACTTGAATATTTTTCTATGAAACGCAACTGCATTTATAAATCTATAACATATATTTTTAACAACATAAAACAATTATACGATAACGTAATATAAATATGTATAATGCTTTTTTTATAAAGACATTTTAACTCGCTTTTATCCTCATACAAATGTCATTAAAACGCTTATTACTAAAAAATATTGTCTAAAAAAATCAATTATTCAATCCTAAGAGAATTTCGAGGACTGAAACATGATAAAGATTTAGAAAAATTAACAACGCGCTGAAACTTCTATTGGTGATATTTCTGATACATATATATCCTTTAGTATTATTATTATTATTATATATATAGAACAATATTCTGGATATTTTGAGAAATAAATATTCGCGCGAATAATAGAAAGTTATCTTGTCTCGTAGCTCTTAGATTAATATTTCATTTATCGTGTATAGATTGGCTATAAAATAGAGACTCTTTGGAGACTCAAGAATAGAACTTCTCTATTTATTATTTTATAACCAATCAATGCTGCAATGCACTGAAAAATTTGTCATACGACAAATGAAATATTAATTATAGTCAGTATTTCATTCATACAACAAATTTTTCAAGCATGTTAAATGGCTGCTGGATAAAGGAGTTATTGAGTTTCTATAGAAATCTTTTGTAGCTAATCAATACGCTTGAAAAATTTGTCACATGACGAATGAAGTATTAGTGTTAGCGTGATCTTACATTCAAAACTATTCAAATTAATAAATTTTATAAGGTTCGAGATTAAATTACTGTTTTCTTCTTAATTATACATACGGGAAGGTAAAAGATAAACTGTCGGGCACAAATAAAAGTAACGTACGTGTCGCACAGGGCATCAGGAAACTTTCGATAGGCACTTTCGATTAATTGGATTTAGTCTTACCACTAATTCCCTGATACCCTAGACTCGTGAACATTCGTTTACAAAGTCAGAAGGAAGCAACGAATAATATACTGAAAAAAATGAACCGTACAACAGAGTAAGTTAAGGAGGGTAGCGATAAATCGTTAGATTTAGTAAATCTATCGAATGGGGCATCAGAAGCGTTGGTTCACTTTTTTTCTCGCTTGTCCACACAGATATTTTATCACATCGTATATCTCATATATCGGTACATTCCATACAACGGCGGCGTAAAGGCGGACCACACGCACGTCCGTATGCACGCATGCACGATGCGTATTACGTCTCCACGTGCAACACACGCACGTATACATATATATATATATATACGTACGAAAGCCTGAACGATGCATTTTCTTTTGGTCAAATTCGAAGTCAATCATTTCGCAGCCTACAGTGTGAACGACTATTTAAATTACAAAAGAGCATCATTAATGTTTCCTTAAAATATTAGTAATCTTACAACGAATGATCCTTCACGATATACCGACCACGGAAAAGTCGACTCTAATTGTAAGTTAAAGACTTTTAAAGTTTAAATACATAGAATTATTCGAGTTCATTAATCTTATACATATGTCTTATATGTGCTTTGCACGTGGATTCCTATGCACGCATACGTACCTATCCGTATGGATATTTATATTTATGTTACTATTTGTTCAGTAATGTCTTCTTAAGCGTTCACATTTCAGTATATCGTCGTGGGGAACAACCCACGGCATCGCGACAGATCGAGTCGTTACCAGTCGTAGTCGTGTTGATGAAAGGGATTGGTGCATGGTTGTTGGGCGTGTAGTTGGATAGTTGGTTTTACGACATCGAATTCCCTACCGACCACTTCACTGTAGATCTATCAAACAGGAAAGTTATATATCATCAATTGTCTCTAAGTAACGCATACCGGATTTGGAATATAAATAATTTGTTCTCGTGGCAAAGTATAGATAGGATTTCTTGTTCAGCGAGTGTGTAGCCTTTCGTAGAAGATGCGGGCAATAAAGCCGACAGCGTCTTCCTTCCGTTTTTGTATCATTTTGTTTTTTTTTTCGTTTGTTTTGTTTTTTTTTTCTCTTATCAACAGAAATATTGCGTCCTCTCTTTGCCGGACGTTTTAATGAGAATGGTTTTACTGAACCTGGAAGCTCCTACGAATATACTCGTCCTCTCCCTTGCCAGTCATACCGTAATTATATCCACCTTCGCCGCCACCTCCGCCGTTTAAGAATGGGTTCGTTGGGTTGCCAGGGCCTGCGTCAGTGGAAAATAAAAAAAAATTAAACGATAAAGCAGTAAATAGTTAGATTAAAGTATTATAAATAATCTAGAGGCGACATAGTACCACTCGATCGTCTCGCTCACAAAGAAAATCTCTACTTTCCTAGTGAAATGATTCCTTACCTCCGTTAGCACCGGGTACCGCGAGATTTCCACCAGCTGTCTGATAAGTCGCCCCGTAGCCAGCATCTTGATTAGCCAGTTCGTGCAAACGAGTGGAACTGAGGGCACGCGGTATTGCATTGCTCGGTACACCGTGCGGTGCCAAGTGAGTAGCCTCGGCTACTTGATGCGGATCTTCCGTCTGCGGTAGCTCGGATACAAAGCCGGTATCCTTTCTGTAGAAATTGATGAACACAAAGACTGCTAGGACGATGATGCAGATGAGACCGTATGCTCGGAAAGTCGCTGTCGTACCTGCATTATTAAACATCGACACTCGATGATTGTCATCCAATGAACATTATTATAAATTAATATAATATTATTGTGTAACACAAATTTCTGATGTTGAAATAATTATTGGTAATATGTGAAAAATTCAATATTATGTAAGCCTGAAGTCGTTTGAGTCTTAAATCAATAATCGTTTGCGAAGAGCTATAATTGTTTCATCTGTATATTGAATATTAAATATTAAAAGAGATAATTGAATATTAAAAGCTTACCATAAGCCGCGACGAACATGCCACCAATTACCGCACCGCAACCTCTTCCAAGTCCATGATGAAGTCCCTGAAGAACACCCTGCGCGCTCGAACGCAATTGTGCCGGTGTATTATGAGCGATGTAACTGCAGCATGCTGCCCATACTGCCGCGTGCGTGATACCCTGAATAAATTCGAAGGGTAATACCCACCATGGATTTTTCAGCCAGGATATGTAGAGAAATCGGAGTACATTTCCACCCAGACCCAGACACAATACCTGAAATGTACGAATAATAATTATCAACAAAGCGTGAATATAATAAGAAAGACGACCAGAAAATTTTTTTCTAGTCTTTGTTGTATAAAAGTGGTGTTATATTAAATTGTAAACGCAAAATTGGTATGTAAATTAAAAATATATCAAAATATTAAAACAATTTCGTGAACAAAATCGCGCAATCATTTTTCTTTGAAAGATTTTTCTAATTTTGAAAAATGGGATTTGTTGGAAAAACATAAAGTAGTTTTATAATTGAAATTTTCAATTACAGTAGACCTCTGTTTCGCTTCTTTCCATTTATATGAATACAAGTTCATGCTCAGATCCATATAATCGAATTTATAGCCGAGCTCTTATTATCTAAAGTACAGTGCCGTCAGCTCCTATTTTATCGGGACTAATAAATACTAATAGAGGGGAGAATTAATGAATCTCTATTATCTGAACCATTTAGTTATCGAAACTGTCTTGTCCCCTGGTAAGTTTGTATAAATGGATTGTACTATAACATAGTTTCAATATAGCATGCTAATATATTGGAAGCAATTACTCTCAAAGTTTATATTTACCTTCACGTGTCCGATCTGTCGAATAAGTTTGAAACTGAAGAAGTACGCAAAGATCTCGGAAATGTGATTGATCACAGACGCAACGCCGAAGAGAGTTGGCGAACCACCGTAATCCTGAAGATGCCAGAATAGGAAAGTGAAGATCAATCCTATGCCAAATCCCATGAACCACGCTACGAAAAGAAACGACGCGCATTTTACATCCTTAAATTGCTTCAACACTGTCACCCATTCTGGTATTTCCTTCATCGTTTGGGCAAACATCTTGGTCTAAAATCAGAAAATTATTGAAACTTTTAAGATTATCTGCGATGCTGATAATTCATTCATAAGATTTCTTCACGTAATATACGATGAGTAAACTGAAAAAACGTGTGGCTTTTACCTCTTTCGTTTCACCTCGTTAATTAATAAATGTTACGTAAATGTAATAAGAGCTTTCTATGTAAAACGTCTTGATAAAAAATAGATACTGACCTTCCCTTCGGGAGGCGGAGGCTTAGGATCTACAGCAGCGGAAGAATCCTGAAGCCCAGGCAGATTAAGTTGCTGGGACAACTGACTTTGAAGCTGCTCTTCTCGTGTTGGCTCGGCTGGAGGTTTCACCACTTCCTATATATGAAATATGATAATTAATAAGTTTAATAAATCTTATTTCGGTATTCTTACAAAAATTTAGTACTAGCTAATTTAATAGTGAAAGATACTGATTGATTTCTTACTTTAAATATTAAATATTAAATATTAAATATTAAATATGAAATCTGAACAATAGAGCTTTTAATATTTTAAGTAAGATATTAATTAATTATTACCTTCTAATATTAGATATCTATGGCTGCGTTTGGAAACGTTGCTCTTATGCCTCCGATGCCTCGAATTCATCATCTGTTCTTGTTTAACATTTAATATTAAACAAAGATAGATGATGAATCCGAGGCATCGTAGGCATCCGAGTGACGTTTCCGAACGCAGCCTATATAAAGGTTATAAATTAATTAAAATTTTTTATTCTTTTGTATAGTAATTATGCGAAATTTCTAATTAAAGAAGAAGAAAGAACAAGAAAATTTGTAAAATTTATTAGATAAGAAATATTTATGAAAAAAACAACCCTATTGATATTTTCATACAGTTTTTAGCAGCGGTATTTTATTACAGTATGCATATTGAAGTAGACTTACCGGCTCAGCAGGAGCAAAGTCATATTTAAAATTAATTTGTGTTGCTGTTATCAATGCGGCACCCATTAAAACGCTAAATATTGCAAAACAAATCGTGTAATTTTTTTCTCTCTCGTCAGGTTTGCAAGGATGATCCGGAAAAGCGGTGCTATGATCGAGAGCGATTCCAACGAAAAACATGGCTAAACCCCATCCGAGACTTCCAAACATGCGTTGATGACCATATCTGGTTAAAATTTATTAATTTTACGAATTAATGTAAATATTGTACAGCCTCTCAAAATTATTTTATTATAAAAAGAAAACAAAATTGCCTTATTATTCTTCAATGATATTCTGATTATTACCTATCAGCGTCTTCACCAAGTAAAGTAATAACAGCTGAATCGGCTAATGTTATGGCAGGTGCCGAAAAAAATTCACCGACTACCACCAACAATAACAGAAGGAAGAATGTTTTTTGAATATCCTAAAATCACATTTAATCAATATATTAAATTATTATTCTTCTTGTAGATGTTTTTTTTATATTAATTAATTACGTAGCCTTTGAAAACACTAATTTGTGTTTGTAAAGACACAAATTATTGTTTTCAAAGGCTACGTAATAAAATCAAAGTCAAGCTTGTGATTTACCGGTAATCTGTAGACTATGGAACTGAAAAGCGGCTTCACCCATTCCTTATTCTCTTTTTCGTTATAATTTGAAGCATAAGTAACCGATAGAGGTGACAATTGGTTAGGTCCAATCGGGCCATGAAGCATTCTTATACTTCTGCGACGTCTCACCAATGACATATCTATATTTTTTTCGTTTTCTTCCTCATTGTCATTGATTTTAACCATGTCTAAAAACGTTTGCTTTTTCTCCACATCTCGTTTTACCATTATCTTCTCCGGTGGTGGTTTCACACGCGTTTTAATATGAACGTAAGCTTTTTTCGGAACTGTTCTCTCAGCCTGCATTGGTTCGTTCTATAAAGCAAACATATTTTTTTAATGCTTTCTCTGCTAAACCAATGATTACTGATAACTTAGCGCTCATAATAATTTCATTCACTTGTATATGCAATTTACATATCAATAACATTCTAGAGTTAAAGAATACAGATTTTTATGAAAGAAATTTTTAGATTAGTGATACATATATGCACAGTTCTATTGTACGTAAATTTTATTATCATGTATAAAAAAGCACAAGTATTTGTACCTTCATGAAACGTTTGTATTCCAACACATCAGCTGGACGATTTTTCTTTTGTAACGTTTCCAAATCGATTCCCGTCGCATCCGCATTGTCAACATTGCTTTCTGATAATAATTTATACCTGAGATTTCCGGCATCATCCTTATCTGTGAGAGATGTTTGTCTTCTGACTCTGTTGTTTCTCAAATCATATATAATATAGCCGCCTTTATTAAACTTTCTAACAGTATTTTTCTCAGTGTCATAAGATCCAAATGCACTAATTTCCTTTGAGTTCGATTTCTTCTTATAATCAAGTACTTCGTTATCATCCGTACTTCGTCGTAATCTTTCAAAGACGACGTTAGATGCGACCTCCAGATATTCCTCTTTATTCTCGGGGTAATACAAGTCACTCAGATCTGTCGATCTCTTTACAATTCTTTGTTCCCTGTTGGACGCTTCCAGATAGGGAGTATCATTTGTACTAACCATACAAGAGGTGGGCGGAGGCTGAATGAAGCCCAACGGCAGAGTGAAAATAATCCAGCAAGAAAGGGAAGCCAATAAGAGAAGTTTGCCTTTTTGCCATCTATAGACAAATAAAGAGAAATGTAAAAGTTTACTTATTTTTTCGTCTTCTTTTATTTTCGAATATGAATATTTTCGAAAAGGTAGATAGAAAGAGACGCATATTATTACAATTCGCTTGCTGCTTACAACTTAGTTTTTTCACATGTCTCTGGCCTTCTTACATTCTGGGTAGACGAGTGATAAGAACACATGCTTGCCGAGCAAAAACTCTTACGGATTTAATAAATTTTTATTTACAATTACGGAAAAAATTAGATTTTATAAATATTATTTCTACGTCTTCTATTTTTTTTTAATCGGGTCTTACTCTGTTTTCTAATTTGTGTTAAATAATTATAAAAATTCAACGTGTTTTCAATCTTTAATTCAATGTAATAGATTTTATAAACCGCGTACCAACTTCTGCGTGGTTTCTTATCTAGTAATCTTTGTCTTTTTATAAAAATTTGTTTCAATTTTTAGCAGGGGTCTGTTGAAAAGTAACTGCCTTTATTAAAAAGTACAATAATTTTATTAAAATTATGTATTTTATATCACTAGAGAGAAAGATAGAGTCAGAGTTATTATATATATAAAATTTAAATAAAATTTAAATAAAATTTTGTTATTGTTTGTCAATTGAGACATTAAAAAAAATCATTTTTAAAAGTGATCATTCGTTTTAAATCATTCAATATTTTTTCGTAATTATATAAAAATATTCTTAGTATAGATTCTTTTTCATGAATGTATTATTTTATAATTATTTTAATATAGATCTCATTATATAATAAAAATATATTAAGATTAGTATACAGACATCTTTCGCAGATCATTCTCGAGCAAAAATAATGCATGCGTGTGACAGATATGCAGATTCCAAATTTTTAAAAAGTTAATGACCTCAAATCGATAAGACAATTTGTTTAGCTAGCATTTAACTTCGAATAGTGCGACTGAAAATGATCTCCACTAACTGTACTGTTATCTTTTCTACGAGATAGTAGTGTTCTTATTCAGCAACTTTTAACGCGTTAGAATAATTCGCGCATACTTTAAAGAAAAGAGCATGGCCTCACCTATCGGCCAAGGAACCCCAGAAAGGGGCGCTCAGGAATTCAATGAACGGCCTGAGACCGATGAGAAGGCCACATTGACCCGCGTTCATGCCCATCTGCTTGAAATACACTCCCATAAGTGGAAATAGGGAGCCGAAGGCCGAATAGAAGAAAAAATAGAAAGTCTTCACGGTGAGGAGTTCCTGGTCGACGGCACCGAAGAGGTACTCCAGGATGTCGCTCTTACCGCGAATCTTGTGCGTGGCCTCCTTTGCTTGGGGGTACATGGTGGGATCGACCTCACCCTCAGCCTGCGGGTCCACCATCGGCCTGGCGCTCGGCATCTGAGGGAGAACTCTGCCCGATGACTGGGCATCGTTCGACATACCATAGTCGTAATCCTCGTGTCCATAGTTCTGCATGATTTCGTGCTCGCTTTCGCGCGGAATACGGAAACGTTAGCCCGTCGGAGCGTATTTCCCCAGCCACCAGATGAAACGCGCGACCCCCCGTTACATTCGCACACTGGACAAGACGCGCCACGGGATCCGTTCACCGTCGAGCAGCCGTTCCACCCTTTTCGTCGAACGGATTGGACTCTCCGATTATATCGACTGTCAAACCGGTGCTCGGTTCTCCTTCGCGGTCGAATCGATGTCGGGCTGTATGGGGTAGCTTTGCTTGCAAAATCAATAAACATGCTATTGCGCCGGCGCGGCGTAACTTTTACCCTCTTACTACCCCTGTCGACGTGATATTGTCTCAATGCCATATCGACGTTAAGTATTTCGGCAGATACTATTTTTGCTTTTCTTCCAGTTTTATTGTCCTGCAATCTGTCCTTTTCTCATCCTTCTCTCTCTCTCTCTCTCTCTCTCTCTCTCTCTCTCTCTTTCTCTCTCTCTCTCTCTTCGATAAATGGAAGAATGAAAGCTAACAAATTTTATCCGATTGCATTTTTAATCATTAAGTCAATCAAACAAGACTCTTACAGACAAGATAAAACGTATTTAAATTAAAAAAAAACAGACTATTTGAACTAATTTTTACTTGGTAAAAATGTACAAAAAATCAACATTGTTACAACTTTCTGATATACGTTACGTTGTAGTTTATAACGCTAAATAGAAACTAAAATTCTATTCAATCACATTTACAAAAAGAAATATGTTCACAAAACACAATTTTTATCGATATTTCCTAAAATGAAATCTGTCAAAAGTCTTTCTTTATCAATTAGTGATAACACGGAAGTTAAATTAATACTGTTACTAAAAAAATTGAGTTTAAATTCAAAGGGTCTGTCATTAAAATTAGAGCGCGATTTATGTGTATATGTGTATGTGTATGTATTTGTGTGTATATCACCTTATAATCTTCTCAAAATATCGAGGTATAATATTTAAAGTAGATGTGTACCCAGCTAATTCTAAATATTCATAGAGAGTTCATCGATTCGTATACCCAATGTGCCGAATATTCCGGAACAGTAAAAGAATTGTTACAAAATGTGCAAATGTTGATGAAATGTTTAGAATATTGTCTGAATATTCTTTGTATATATCACGAAAATCACTCGTGAGCGAACAATTATACACATCTCTACCGACAGAGAACCACGATAGAGAGCATTTACTCGTAAATAAGAATTATCTGGGAAAGAATATAAAGTGTACAGTATTTTTGCCTTTGAGGTGCAATTGTCCCAAAATTGGACTGCATACACTTGAAATGTCTTCTTTATAGTAAAATTTTCTTTAAAAGATGGTTCAGAAACGATCGGACCCGGAATTTCTAGAAAAATTATATATAAATGGGATTTTTAACCGATATTTAAATGTTGTTTTTACATTCCGTAAATATTTCAGGATATTGCGAAATACTTTTGGAATGTTGTTTGGGATTTTAGGAATCTTTTATGGAATCCTTCAGGAATATTTAGTGTTAGTGCACACTGAATATGTGTGCATGTGGGTAAAATTAAAAATAACGATATTTATGGAAGAAATAAATAATAGTTTACTTTATTACGTCATAGTACTTTATAAATATGCATTTTGTGAGATTAAATAATTAATAATTTTTTATATGTACAGTTCGCCGTATATAACAAATAACTTTCATGTTAATATGCGGCTTTCTCATAGGTTTTAAATAACTTTAGGTATCAGGTTCATATGTGACTGCGCAGGGCACGAAGAAGCTGCGGTTGACGATCTCGCGGGCTTGGGCGGTCCTTGAAACATGCAGATTTTTGCTGTCTTCAAAAGACGGCCATTGTTCGCAGTTCGCCAATAAATCGTGCGAACTGCCTGCTTTCCAGCGACGTAACTAACAGCACCACCAACCAGCATCTATGAATAAATTGTCTTGTTAGATGCATTTCTTAAAAAATATAAAGAATAGTTAATGCGTGTGCCTATTATGTGTGTAAATGTGCGTGTGTAAGAACTTTGTTAATGAAAGAACAAATATTTGCAGAAGAGAAAGTAAGTAATGATTTTAATTGTTAAAGTATGTACAAGTCTTTTTTGGAAAGCTTTTTGTAGCACAAATTAAATGAGCACAGCGATGGTTTAGAATAAGAAATATTGAATGATTGCAAATATATGATAAAAATCTTGAATCGTTTAGAATATCTTCGAAACTAAAAAGATTTTAAGTTTTGAATATTTTGTCTTAAATACGTTAACAATCTTAAATGTCTGAGACATTTTGAAAATATTTTGTTTTATATAATATCTTGCATCATTATTTTAATCCATTCTCAATTTTATATGTACAGACGTAGTTAATAATTTCATTATTTTAAACCAAAAGAGTTTAAAATGTATTGAATATTTTGAAAGTCTTGAATGTTTGAGAAAATTCATTTTTTCTTTTGCTTCTTTTGGTTCTTTCGACATTTTATAATGTTATTTTATTCCATTCTCTACTTTATGTACAGATATTGAAATACGTTTCTTAAAATTTGAAATTTTCAGAAATTTAAACATTTTAAAGAAAAATTTTCTAGGCATTTAAGACTTTCAAGAGTTTCCAGGAAAAACTTTCAAGACTTTTCGGAATGCTCGGTCCCTATAATTTCTAATATTCAAAGTAATTCGAGTCTTGCATTTATAAATACAATTTACGATTAATTTTTGAATAATTATTACAGTAATTATTTAAAAAAATTTCAAAAAAGATTCGAATGTCTATTACAAAAAACAGACAATAAGAGATCATTTCCTGTTTGTTGCTCATTGAGCGAATATGAAAGGAGAAAGGCTCGACGTATCCTTTGTCTCGCAGGATATTAGAAACAAGCAGATATAATCAATAAGCAAAGATGTATGATCTCGATGTGATACGTTTATTAAAAGGATGGTCTTTGAGTTTAATAAATATTAATACACAATAGTGATATTTCTACAGACTTTGAAGTTTCAAAATTCAAAATAATATGAATAATATAAAAACTTACTTTGCGTCTGTATGGTCGGAAATATACTGCAAGTATTGACTAGATCGTTGAAATGCAACTTGATAGGTTTCGTGGGATATCAAGAGCCGTTATGCGTGCTCCACTCTTATATATTTATACCTCATTTGATCTCGCTGAGGTAAGAATCAGTACTGATGTCTGAGTCGCGCACGGCCGGTATTTTATACGATAAATACAACGTCACACGTCACAGAGATAAGAGATCTCACGCGTCATTCACAATTATTGCCATTTCTATCGAGGAGAGAATTTTTGTCCTCTCGGGGCAGACAAGGAGAAGACTGTGTGATAATTGCGATGCGCGCGCGTGCCTGCGGAGGGTCTTATTCAGTATTTATCAACTTTTAAGCCAAATTGATAAACTCTGAGCGCAACGCTGACGTATATTCGCGGGAAAAATTCCGTTCCGGAATAGTACGGAATATGAACTATGTATACATATATTGTACTTGCGCGTTTTGCAAAATTGACATTTGAATTGATGTTACAACTTGACGTAAAATCACGAGAGATAATGCGGAAATCTAGCGCGAACGACACTCCAGTTGATACAACAGTAAACAAAACTCTCTTTGCGTCTCTTCGTATCGCATCTGCATCGGTCGACGACTTATCGCTAATAATAAAACGGAATAATGTAATTAAAGGATTTAACACGTTATTATGAATAATAAAAAATAGGGTGTAAGGCTTTGTTTTTTTTTATCTGCTTGTTTGATTTATTTTATGTACATATATATTTAAAATTTAAATAAAATACAGAACGACGCGCGACGGTTCAAAGATACATTTAAAAATACGTCTGTTCTTTTTTAGAACTTCAAGTTCTGAATTCTGAACTGATATACACTGGTGCAATAAGTTAAAATGAGACAGGTATTTGTTTCACTCTAACTTATTGCACTAGTTCAAAACTAGTTTAGAATTCTTTGAAAAAGAACATACTTTACGTAAATCTCATTCACCTGATTTCCTGGCGGAACAATTCTTGAAGTGATTAATATTATACTATACTTGTTGAATTGTTTAAGAGTTTAAGCGATCCCTAGGTGCTCAATATTATTGTACAATTACTTTATACAATATTATTAATGCCCCTTTTAAACAATTTAAAACAGTCTAGTAAACTCAATATAGCTTCTAAACGATCAAATAATATTGTATAATATCGAATATATTATGCGATAAATATTGATCGTTTAAGAATCACTTTAGATAAATATCGGTAAATCTTACAGGTTTTTCCGTAATATAATTTAATTTTTTAAATGTCATTTAAATAATCAAATTTTAGATAACAACCAAGTAGAATACAGAAGTCGTAATATAATATAATATTAGAATATCATTATGACTCATTTGTCACTTAGTTTATTTTTAGGTATCAGATGATACCATGATGACGTTCTGTAATATCATCATTATAACTCTGTGCTACCTGGGACATGTGTGAAGCAGGATACAACTTAATAAATTAAAATTAAAATTAATTAAAATAAAAATATCATGGAACAATGTAGAAAATTTTCCACCGATGTTTATTGTAAGGACGAGTCAAGATACGAACCTGTATCATCGTCTAAAAATATCAAATGAATCTGATAACAAACCTTGTTTACCTTTTTGCAATAAATCCAACAATAAATCCAGCATCTAAATATACTGCATCTACATCACAATACCTGTTTATTATAGATTTAACATAAGTATAATTGTATATATACGTAAGAATTTTTGAAATTATGTAATATTTGTTTATATTAATTATTTGATTTACATTTTTATGATTTAATTAGCAATATGACGTATGCAATAGTTTGTTTTTCAACTATTTTGTTATCTTCTAGGTAAAGTCCAATAATGCTACTTTGTGGTAATAAAAATGTTCTTGTTATGTCGTCTCTTATTTTAGTTTTACGTTACTACAAAATTACACATCGTAAAGTTTAATGTGTATGTGTATAATATTTTGAAATAAATATAGCTAAGGGAAGAAAATAAATGACATAATCAGTATGTTCCCATTTCTGTTGAGTATTACTGTAATAAAGTTTTAATCTGAAAACACGATTACAAAATCACTGTGTAGCTTTCCTCGGATAGTTTCGTCGAATAGGAATAATTCCATATTGACAAAACAAATATTTACCATAAAAGAAACACACTCGCCCTTATGGAAAAACACTATTGAGTTCACGAAAAAAATTTGAAGTAATTTAAAAACCATTCAAATCCAATATTGTATATATACTCTTTCGTTTCAATAGATTTTTCATTGATCTAATAGTATTTTTCCACAAGGGCGATGCTTGAGAAGTATTTTGAAAATATTGGAAATATTGAGTATCTGAAAATATTTTTAAAAATGTAGTATCTTATCGATATTTTATAGAATGTTTTCTTCGTTAGTGGAGCATTCCATGTAATGACTTAACATAAATATGATAATTAGATACGCATTTACGTCGACGGAAATTTTGTACAGTAATGTGTCGCACTTA